AACACGGCTTAGCATTCACTTCGCTCTCTATTAAATTTTTTCTGATTTAAGTGCATTTAATTTCAAAATTTTTCGTTACATAAGAATTTTTATGTTATCATTTTTTACTTTTTCCGTCACACTGCTCAACTACTAACTATCTTAAAGGTTTACTATCGTTAATTACCTATTTCACTCTGCTTTGCATACCTCATCTATCGACTTAGGTCATTTTGAAATTTCTAATTTCAACTTATTTTATTTTTTATTTTTTTTATTTCATAACTTCACTTACATTTCTTAAATTCTCTCACTTCTCTGACATCTCGTCGTATGTACCTTTCACAATTTTTTGTTGTTGTTATACCTGTTGTTATTTTTTTTTTTTTTTTGTTTTTCTTCTGTTACCTTTCTTCGTGTGTCTTGGCAGTGTTTGTTGCAAATTCATAGCTTGCAGGTTCCCTTGCCCATGAATCTATCAATACGTTTACCTGTGGATGCTTTCAAGGTCAACGATCCCCAACGTCTTGGCGGTGGTTATGCTGGTCTTTGTTTGGGTGATCCCGATATTGGTGAACTAACCATTGCCGAAATGAGCCCAGAGGATATACGCGCTGAACTCAAAAGGTTTGTATGCATTTAATGAATGGAATATTTTAGGGCATAGTTTAAAAAATACCAACTTTTTTTGCAGACTGTATACACAACTGGAAATTTTAAAAAATAAATCTCTACGCCAGGACAATCCGCATATAAGTAAGCGACGTGGCGGACGAAAGGCTGGACATCGTCGTTTCTCATTGCAAGTAAGTGGAATAGCAGCATCGAAAAGCTGCGAATATGAATTGTTTGTGTAATCATGAAGGATATAGTAAACATATTTAATTGTATCAACATTTTCAATTATATAAGTAGTACATTAATATAAAGCCATACATAATTTATGTTCTATAATTAGTATGTATGTATGTTTGAGTGGAGAAGTAGGTACTATGTACTCGTATATAGTTACTTTTTGTACATAATCAGTTTTTTAACCAATATCCTATTAAAAATATTTCGTAAAAATTCATTAGCTAAGAAATACAGAGTAAAAATTTGTGAAGTGAGCCAAAGTCTTTTCGAACGTTTGGTTTTGTTTTTGTGGTATTAATTGTTTACAACCTTTTAAAAATACAAATTTGATAATTTTTCGAAATTCGAATCATTTTAGAAGTTCTGCTAATTTTTTAAGAAAGATGATGTTGTCTTCCCATTTGTATTCAAACCCAACCCTTGATTGGCCCAAAAACTTTCTGTCAAAGTTAAACACTTGGACTTGATTCTCGATCGAAAGCTGTCGTGGAATCAGTGGGGCACTTAGCACCAGGGTTTGCTACTCACTAAACTTTTTTAGTCTGACTGAAATGTAGTCAACATTTTTTAAAATTTTCTATTATATTTAGAAAGTGCTGTTTGGTTTAATTTGTTTTTTTTTCCAAAACTCAGCCCATTTTTTGTAATAAAGTGCTTGTCAAAATAATAGCGTCACAACAAATTGATAAGTTTTGACAATTTATTTGTATTATTTAATTATTTTTTGTTAAAATTAAGTTCATTCTGTAACAAAAACCATACACAAAGCCCAAGTTTCAAACTTTATAAAAAAAAAAATTATATAAAAACAATCTAAGCCTAGCGGCAGCCACCTTAACCCAAACTAGTACCTTTAAAAATATTTCGTAAAAGAGACATTAGCTAAGGAATATAGAGTAAAAATTTATGAAGTGGGCCAACATTCTCTCGAATGGTACTCGTATGGTATACATACATACATATACATATGTATGATAGCCAATCTTGACTTCAACTGTTCAAGCGTTCAAGGGCGATTTCAGTAGAGAATAGGGAAGTGACCGATCGCTTTGCATCGACTGATTCAAGATCGACTGCACTGTAGGAATTATAGCAACCATCACGATCACTGGCCCTAAGGCAAAACTGCGGAAGGATGGAATGTCCCTATAACAGAACATGCTGCAGCTGCCGGCAAGAAGATAGGGAAGAAAGTGTCCAAGATTTCGAGTATGAATATTATATAGGCTCACAATACTTGCAATACACATACATACATATCAACTCAATTAGCGGATTCATAAAAAGCTTCACCAAGCAATATGAGATTTACAAAAATAGATAAGGCGGATTCAAAGAGGAGTAGTGCTCGAAATCAATCTGATTAATCCCTGATTAATTTCATATAACTAGAAAATAAAAGTACATCTGTTGTTGGATTATCGTACCTTCTAAAATTAATTGTTTAACATAGTAGTACATACTTACATATATCAGTACATAAGTGTTCCCACTCAAGTAGCTTTATAAATATACTTATATGTATATACCATATCTTTATCTAACTATATGTATGTACATCCCGCATCACTCGAAAAGATAAATTTTTTTCTTCGGAAACCAAGCATCGTAAGCAATACGTTGTAGCGATTGGCTATCGCATTTCCCCTTTACTTATTGAAGAAGCCTCGCAGAATACCTCAATGGAACTTCGCTGAAATATTAGCATTTTTCAGGGGCCGAGAACGCGTTCCGGTTTTGGTTTAGTTCTGCATGAGAACCAAATGTAGTGTCAAGCAGGTTCCGACAAAAGAACAAAAACGGGCACAAAAGTATTGAGAACAGTTTGAACGGGAACAAAATGAAAACAAAAGGTTCGGGAACGTTTCCGTAAAGAACAAAATGCAAACCAAACTCTCGAGAACGTTCTGAAGAAGAACAGAAAGAGAACTAAATTTTCGGGAACGTTTCCAATGAGAACGAAAGTACCGATAACGTTTTGAAGGAGGACCAAATAAGAACAAAAATATGAGGCACGGTTTTCTGAGAACAAAAGGTTCGAGAAGAAAATGTTAACAATGGGAGGGGCGTCTGCGTGTTGGGATGAAAAACCGTTTCAATGAGAACCATGACTGTTAATTCTAAACCAGAGGAAAGCTGGATCATTTAAATTTCCAGATCCTTTATCATTATGATCCATTACTGTCCAGTTATGGAAATTTTTTTTGTCATTTTCTGTGCAAGAAGTTTGTTTCTTAAGTCTTTTGTTGGCTTAATTTGAGTTCTTTTTTGATTAGTTTTAATATTCAAATATTTCGAACTAATGGGGCGCTATGAGAAAAAATTTGTTATCGCTTCCATTCTTCCCGAGTAGTTCAGAGAAGACATGTTCCCGTTTTGTTCTCTATCAAAAAGTTCCTTGGACTTTTGTTCACGTTTTGTTCTTCGCCAGAACGTTCCGGAAACATTTGTTCTCTTATAAATGTTCCCAAAAGTATTGTTCGCATTTTATTCCCTTTGGAAATGTTGCACAGGGTTTTGTTCTTTTATAATTCCCGTTGAGAACGTTCTCGACAGTTTTGTTTTTTCACTTTCATTCTTGTAAAAACACTCCCAAAGGTTTTTTTTCTCATTTAGGTTTGGGTTTTTAAGCGTTCTTGGGAATAAAACTACGAGAACGACATTTAGTTTCGATCAAACCTTTTGTTCTCGGTGCCTGGTATTTTTTAATTGTTAATTTTAATTAACTTCTTTAAAAATCGACCTATTGGACTCCCAAGGATGCACTTATTCAATTAAATAGGAGGTGCACGCAGTTTAGTTGTTTCTAAAAAAATTTTGCTGTAAACATCCATACATACATACATACATACATATAAATTTTTACTCATACATGTATACATAGTAAATATTTATATTATTCTCCCTCAAAGAATTTATCATTAATACCTACATATGCAGTTATTTTTGTAACCATTTCGTATGTAATTCTATATGCTTAGTACATAGTATGTGTTCATCCATTAATTTATCATAAATGTTTTCGTTATTAATTTCGTTACATTGTAGAAAAAAGGAAGCAAAGACAAGGTAAGAGCCGTGCTAACAACACCTACAAACATATATAGGTTTTCTCCCACCGTGTGTAGATAGTAATCGTAACTGGACTCCCTCAATTTTTTCCCCAAAATAAAATTTTAAGCAATTTAAATAAAACCGTGTCGTCCCACACTAAACCCCAACGTTTTCCTTCTTCTATTCTAAACCTTATCAATTTTATTGTAAACCCGTTTAATATATTTATCATCCTGTATATACTTAGTGTATCTCACTAAATTTTATAAAAGTGTGCTGTGTGTAGTTGACTATATATCAAATCGGGAGTAGAATGTGTAAATATAAAAGGGCAGTTATTTCTTTACAAGCTGGAACTAACGAAGGATCTATATTAAATAATTCAATTCAGTTTGGGCTTAACGACTGCCATTTGCGTACGCTGCTACTACCAGATCCATTTCATTCTTCGTTACAAGTTTGTATAGAGATTATTAACAGTTTTTTCCACTCTGAGGGGCTGTACACCAAAGCCTTTGTACAGCATGAAGCATGTCAGACTGAGTGAGTGATCCGAAGCTTTTTGCGTTAGCGAATAATAATTCTTTGCCAGTTTTCGAATGCAGATTATCCTGATTTTTTTCTATAAAGAGTGGGAATATGACGAAATACCAGACAAGCCTGTAAAATTCGAATTATAAGCTTGTCTTCTCCACATTTTAGCATTAATTAGTCTGCTACTCGGAGAATTGGTTTTTAGGAGTGTATTGTAAGTGTCAAGCAGCATCGAGGTATAAGATCCATCAGTTTTTCTGAGAGAGTCAAGCCTAACCTATAGACCATGTTGATGTAGTGGATTGATTTTAAGTTTTTAAGTTTAGGAAGTTCTGGAATACTAGTGGTGGACTCTGGGTTGCCATTCAAAGTTTGCAACATTTTCGCTTAAATTTAGCGAATATAATGATTACATCTACTACTCCTCCAAGACCATGCATCCTTTGACGTGATCCCGCATAACTTTGTTTATTAATATCATATAAATCGCTTCTTGTATTCTTCTAGTGTCTGATGTAGGTTTGTAGCCTATATTCCCAGCCTATATCCCCAACGCGTATCATAGAATGAGGTCCAATAGTCCATGGTTAGATTGAGACTAGAAATCTCACTCCACATTTGGTATATCGATGCCAGTAGGAATATTTTGAATTTGAGATTAGGCAGTAAAATCTTCAAGTGTATAGCAAAGGTAATACTTTCTCTTCTTCTTCTTTTTTGGCGCTGTAACCGCCTAAGCGATTTTGGCCGAGTTCAGCAAAGCACGCCAGTCGTTTCTCCTCTGTGCCAACTGACGCCAATTGGAAACGCCAAGTGAAGCCAAGTCCTTCTCCACCTGATCTTTCCATCGCAGTGGGGGCCTCCCTCTTCCTCTGCTACCACCAGCGGGTTCCGAGTTGAATACTTTCAGAGCTGGAGCGTCGGTGTCCATTCGAACGACATGACCAAGCCAGCGGAGCCGCTGTATTTTAATTCGCTGCACTATGTCCATATCGTTGTAAAGCTCATACAGCTCATCGTTCCATCGTCTGCGGTACTCGCCGTCGCCAACGCGTAAAGGCCCGTAAATCTTCCGCAAAATCTTTCTCTCAAACACTCCAAGAGCCGCCTCATCGGATGTTGTCATTGTCCATGCTTCTGCGCCATATACCAGCACGGGCATGATGAGTGACTTATAGAGCGTGGTTTTCGTACGTCGAGAGAGGACTTTACTCCTGAATTGCCTACTCAGTCCAAAGTAGCACTTGTTGGCAAGAGTGATTCTACGTTGGATTTCAATGCTGACATTATTATCGGTGTTAATGCTGGTTCCCAAGTAAACGAAATTCTCTACTTTCTCGAAATTGTAACTGTCAACAGTGACGTGGGTGCCAAGGCGCGAATGTGCTGACTGTTTGTTTGATGACAGGAGATACTTGGTCTTGTCCTCGTTTACCACCAGACCCATGCGCTTTGCTTCCCTATCCAACTTGGAAAAGGCAGAACAGACTTCGCGGTTTTTGTTACCGATGATGTCGATGTCATCGGCATAAGCCAGCAATTGCACGCTCTTGTAGTAAATTGTTCCTGAGCGGTTCAGTTCTGCAGCTCTTATTATCTTCTCCAACATCAGATTAAAGAAGTCACATGAAAGGGAGTCGCCCTGTCTGAAACCCCGTTTTGTGGCGAACGGCTCGGAGAGGTCTTTTCCAATTCTGACGGAGCTGGTGGTATTGCTCAACGTCATTTTACACAGCCGTATGAGTTTTGAGGGGATGCCAAATTCAGACATAGCGGCGTATAGGCAACTCCTTTTAGTGCTGTCAAAAGCGGCTTTAAAGTCGACAAATAGGTGGTGAGTGTCGATCCTTTTCTCGCGGGTCTTTTCCAAGATTTGGCGTATTGTGAATACCTGGTCTATGGTGGATTTGCCAGGTCTAAAGCCACACTGATAAGGCCCAATCAGTTCATTGACGGTGGGCTTCAGTCTTTCACACAATACGCTCGATAAGACCTTGTAACCTATGCTTAGAAGGCTGATCCCGCGGTAGTTGGCGCGAATGGCGGGGTCACCTTTCTTGTGGATTGGGCAGAGCACACTTAAATTCCAGTCGTCGGGCATGCGTTCATCTGACCATATTCTGCACAAGAGTTGATGCATGCACCTTATCAACTCCTTGCCGCCGTACTTGAATAGCTCAGCTGGCAGGCTGTCAGCTCCAGCGGCTTTGTAAGGTAATACTTTACTATTAGATATTTTACTGAAAGATTTAATATACATACAAATCCTACTCTCTAGTACTTTTAACTTTTTTTGATAGAATCTATGTTGAACCACAGCACTCACTCCTAACTGTCTTCCTTTAAAAAATTCTTTATGTGCATAAGTATGCGGTCTGCCTTAACTGTATAAAACAGCACTCGTGTACATATGAATTTGTATATAAACTTCCTTTCCCAATTTGCTTCCTTTGTCCATTAGATATATATATCACATTTTCGTAGACTTAAAAATTTTTTTTTTGTTACACCTATTCATACACTCAAACATTAGGTTGCTTCACAAAAAATATTTGCTACTTTTCTAAGCGATTCATAAAGTTTGTTCACTTTTAAACCTACCATCAAATTATTTGGGCTCAAGTCTGCGTCATTCGCGATCTGGACATTTTCAAAACTAAGTCCTAAAATCGCGTTTTGCATTCGAAAGAGTATATATTTAGGTGGAAATCTGTTTTTCTAGAAAAGAAACTGATGGAGTAACGACGTGTTAATGTAAATTTTGAGGGTCATGTCAGATTTTCCCATTCAAGCCATCAGAGTTGTATTAAAGTACTTCGTGTCCCACAGGGTAACTCGTGCTCTTCGTTTGCTGGAGGTGGTGGCTGCTTTCAGAAGGTGGTACTCACGATGTTCTCGGCGCAAACCGAAAAACGGTTGTACTGCCAAATAATAAGAAGAACAGCAGGATCTCAACTACCTTAGGTTGCCAGGTATCAGTCGATCTTATCCTATGTTGGAAACTCACCATGAATCCAAAATTCATTTTTACAGACCATTGTTGTTTGTTGTCCAGACAAAGGTATATAGCTATTACTGAACAACGACGATGATAAATGTCTAGTCTGATAGCTAATCGACAACCAATGCCGCACTCAAGATTAGTCGGCGAGCGCATTTTTGCACTTTCGATTGCGTAAGAATACTTTCTAATTGGAATTATATGGGACACAGACCATAGTCATTGCCTATGAGTTGGCTATGAAAGGTGGTCTCGCAGGCTCACCCAGCAAGGAGAGAGTGGGAGTATGTATGACACAATTCAGTTCAGGGGAACGTTGGAAGATTATTTAACTCACAAAGTCGTAGCGATCGATTTTGGTAACGATTGTGACAGAGTTTTGATGAATACATATTGATCGCGGTGCAGCTCAAGAATGACACTGAATTGAGCCTAACAAAATTTAGATGAAGTCATAAAGTAAACCAAACTTTATCAATTACGTGGGAAAGAGAGGTTCATGTGAGGCAGCCTAGCATTTTGCGTACACATTTTTTTTATTGCTTTGACGGTACAAATTGCATGCAAACGCATGTGATTTTGTGTTTTGCTTAGCTAGTTTTTTGTTGTCCATACAAGTGATAAGGTATTATACTTATTATAAGGCTACCACTGATTTCTTTTTTTTCAACGCAAAAGCAAATACCAGATTGATGTTCGTACTAAGTCCCTATATTTTTTTTTTTGTCTATAGGAATTGTGCTTTATTAAATTTAATTTATCTCTTTTCAACTCACAGGCTCTCAGTGCCAAACATCGTAGCAACAAACATCATCAAGATATTGAAATTACCGAAGCCGAACCATCGCGCACACCCGAGGACTCAGTATGCAGTGTTGAGGGACCAACAGATGCCGAGATATCAGGCATTTCGCATTCGATGCTATCACATTCGGCTATTTCACACTCCATTATATCGCATTCGAAGTGAAATACAAAGTCGACGACTTGGGTGTAAAATAAGTAATAAAAAAAATATATGTATGTGAAATGCGGAGAAAATTAAGAAGCAAGAAAACCGAAGTGAAAGAGCTACATAAGTGATATGCAACAAGGTGTTTGTTTTGCAAAAAAAGTCAGTTTGTACTAGAAAATGTTAAACTTAAGTACGCTGCTCTTAAAAATATGAAAGAAAAAAAAATGTGAGAGGAATGTAAAAGATAATGAAACTTACTTGTAGTGAATGTGGTAAATAACTCGCATATGTATAGGAAACATATGTACATATGTATGTACATAAAACCAGCAAATATGTACATAGCTACTCTTCAAATCAAATTTGATATTGAAAGCAGTGTAAATATTTTACAATTATTTTTTACGTTTTTTGTAGGTTTTTTATAAACAATATTTAATTTAATTTAATTTAATTTATTTATTTTTTTAAATAAGAAAAACGTAGATTATATAGTGATAGTAGCTAATATTACTTTTTTTACAAATGCATTCGAGATAAATATGTACCTTAAATGCTCACTTATATTTTTTTAGTTTATTTACAGTCTAAAATATTTTTTTTGTTCTAAAAATATATTTGCTATATAGAAAGATCTTTCACATAAATAGATAACCAAAAAAAAAATAGCTCAAACAACGAATTACATACAAACATGTACTCGTATATAGTCCAAAATTGTATACGATGATTTTATGAAATACTACATTGCAACAACAATAAAATATTTTAAATAAAAAATTCACATATAAATACATATGTATGTATTGCCGGATGAAAACTTTTTTAAGCTCTTTGTTTTTGCAGAGCTCGACACTTGAAACATAGCTAAACAGTTTTTATATATTGGCGGTGAAAAATGGATGAATGGTGTTTCGTTTTTAATATTTACAACGTTTTTCAACGTTTAAAATTTTTTTATAAAAATATGGTTCATGCCTTAACAAAAAAAGTATAAATCAGTTTTTCAAACTTTATACAGTACTTAGAAAAATTTCAAAAATTTTTATCTAAATTTCAAGCTTATTAACCAGAATTTTTAGAAATTTTTTGGGTATTCAGTTAACAAGCTAAAACTCTAGTAAAATAAGTGCAAGTTTTAAGCGGCAAAAAATCGCATTGATTTATATATTTTTTTTTTTTTTGTTGACAGTGTTTTGCACTTCTGTCCATATATGAATTTATTATGGATTATTATGCGTAAAAGCCGTCAGCAAAAAAATCAATGCGACTTTTTAGCCGCTCAAAACTTGCACTTATCTTATTTTACTAGAATTTTAGCTCGTTAATTGCATACCCAAAAAATTTCTAAAAATTCCGGTTAAAAGGCTCGAAATTTAGATAAAAGTTTTTAGAATTTTATAAAGTTCTGTATAGAGTTTGCAAGTGTGATTTATATATTTTAGCATTTTAAAGCATGAACCATATTTTTATAAATAAATATCAAAAAAAAATTTAGCTTGAAAAATATTATAAATATTAAAAAGAAACACCACTCATCCATGGTCTTGAAATTACCCTGAACTAGGCCAGAAATGTTCATTTGTACACACAAGAGGCAATTACAGCTGGGAAGATTCAGTTACAAATTTTCTGATTTTTCAATCAGTTATGATGGAACCATGTTTGGAGTTCTGAGCCGATCAACTCCAGTCCTTCAGCGAAGGCTTGATCATCGAAAAGCTGGTATAGCCTACCGTAAATGACTTGATCTAGAAAAACGACAAAATACGAGTATTTTTTTGTCACTACTTTCCGAAAATGATACATTTTTATGGGTGCAAAATCGTGTTGGACTGTTTTAGCTAAACAACAAACCTCTTGAAATAGGCGCTTAGTGGGGAACGGTTAAAAACTCTTTGGGAGTGACAGGAGATAATCATCGCAAACGAAAGAAATAGTACATCATTTTCTTCGTCAAAGCCCTAATTACGGGGATTTTTTCAAAAGTTTTACTGTAGGTTTAGTCCATCTAAGTCTTATTTGAACGTTGGATTGCATTTCAAAAGTGGTATTCAACAGATTCACATGAAGAACTATGTGATGAGCAGCGCTGGCAAAAATATGCAAATACTTGAAAAAGGCTATTTTACGTATTATTGGCAATTTTGTTGGTTTTTTACATATATCCGACTTATATGAACCATCAATGCGCGACCGACCGAACAAGCAATTCCGATTAAACAATAAACCTGTTTTATTTTGGTGGTTGCAATGCTGAAAGATTGATAATTTAAAAAAGCTCGTTATTTTATACTGTAATTCCGAGATAACTGAATAAAAATACTGTAAAAATTAGATAAAACCTCATTGACTTAGCATATTTTGGTGATTTTTGATCAGCCCTGGTGATGTAATCTGCTACTTCTTCTATAAACAAATATCCTTTCAGTCGAACTGCTCCAAAATTAATAAATTTCTTATATCAGTTTAATTTTTTTGTTTAAGTAGTACATAATAAAAATAGATACTTGTGATAGTCAACTATCAATATTTTTTATCAAAAGGGGTTACATGCGTTTTGAGTGTATCTAAATGCATAAATCAATTGACTCAAATTAAAATAAAGACATGTATCTATAGAACAGTATAGTTGTTATTTGCTAATAAAATGTATTATATTAATAATAAAACAGGACATACGCTACATAAATTATATTGGTAAACATAAATAGTTGAAAATAAAAGCGATACAATATGAAGAGCAAAGCCCACCTCTGTTGGAAACAATGAAAACATTTACTTTAGAATTGTGCTGAAAACGAAGTTGCAACTTTTTTTTGGAAATTGTTAAACAAACACAAGCACTTTTTAAAAGTTCAACAGAAAATTGCAAAAATTAAATGGAAAACCAAAAATTAGAAGGAATAAAAAAATTGTTGATATCAAATTTGTATGTATGAATGGATATATAAATGCTGTGGAAAAAGTGTAAAATAAATTGGTAAATTTTTCTAAAGGAAATACTACTACAACCAAGAAAGCGGCGCAGTCAGATAGCTGCAGGCTGTCAATAAACGCGCCTGAAAGTAGGCAACAAGAAATTGAAACAATGACAATTGGTTTAACTACTACGAAAAAAACTTTGAAGCTGAATATAAACAATGTTTCGTCGTTGTTATTTGCTAAATAGGTCATAACAATAACATAGATAACTCTCATTAACAGAGTGCTTAAAGCCATGTTTTTGGGGCACACTTTTAGGCGCAGTAGTTATATCAATTGATGAGTTTTGTCATTGTTTTGAGAATAGCGCGGATAGAAGGAATAAAGGATCCCGTTCCTGTGCTAAAAACAAACTACTTTCAGTCAGCCATTAAGCAGGCTATAAATATGTATGTTCTTTTTCAAAAAAAAAAGCATCACTCACTATAAAAAACTTGCTTTAATTTTGTTCCTTGGCGCTGTATTGGCGGCACCGTATGTGTAGTTACTAATATAATTTGCCTTTTTTTGTTCGTCACTTGTAAAATTCTATCACTTATATATACATATATTTTATATACATGTGTATGTACTTATTTACTTATAAAGCTGTTGTTAATGCTTTGTTTTTGTTAATAAATAAATCCATACACACATACAATAAACAATTGTGAGAAATATGGTCGACAAATACTATTAGACTTATAATAAAATACTCGTAGTAGTAATAAGTAATAGCGTATATAATACATATGTACATAAGTACGTGTGTATGTATGTATATGAAAAATTATTGAATAGAAATATGCATGTATGTAGCTTATGTAACTCAGGCCAAAAATCGACAGCCAAAATTACTCAAATCAGTTGTAAAATTGGAGCTTATTTTAGACTTAATAGTACGTATCGAATATTTAAGCTATAAATAAATGTACATATGTAATACTGTCTAAGTTGGTCACGACTAATACACATATTTGCCGTATTTCTTCGTCAACAACTTTCAGCTTGACAAAAATTCTTCACCGAAAATAAAGGTTATTTACTCACATACAATGGCAGGAAAATAAATAGGGACGCGACATTAAAAAAAAAAAATGGCTTTTTTATTTATTTAATTTTTATTATTTTTTATGAAAGTATGTGAATTTCATACTTTCCAAAAAAAATAGGAAAATTCGACAAAATGTCAAAAAATTTCAAACTTTTTAATTAGAATGAAAAAAAAAAATATTATATGCAGTTTTGTAGCCTATTAAATTTTGATGACGTACAAAATTTAAGTAACTGGAACTCGCCGTTCATTTTCGGTATTTTTTTTTGCGGACGCTATCACGCCATTTCATCCATACAAAGTATATTCAACATTATTTTTATATAGAGGAAAATGTACAAAACCGC